TAAGCAAGTGAGAAGAAGATGTATTTTTATTAATAATAAAGGATACAGCAGTCATTGCATTCATTTTGAAAAGGCTATCAGACATGTAGCATTTTCCTACATAAATCCCATTTTTAGTAAGTATAAATTTATCACTCTCAAACACTAGCTTAAGTACATTTTTACTCAACAGAGATCTGGAGACTAGAGTCTTGCGGATGTTTGGCACATGCAGCACATTGTTGAGCGTGAGTTTCTTTTCAGATGTCATCTTCAGAATAATCTTTCTTTGTCCTTCGACTTTAGAAGTCGAAGAGTTGCCCATGAATAGTTGTTCGCTGTTGTCCATCACAGAAATAGGATGTGAACATCTTTTTGTCGGCATAGATGTGGCGAGTAGCACCAGTGTCCACCTACCATTCTTTAGGATTTTCGACAAGGTTTCCCTCGGAAACAGCTGTAGAAAGATTTATGTTTTCTACACCATTGGAAATTTTGTCTACCTCGGTCATATTGGCTTGAGTAGGCTTCTTGATCTTCCTTTGCCTTTACGCTTGCTATGGTAATCTTTGGCCCAATGTCTCTCTTTTTGACAGATGTAACATTTGCCATTAAACTTGTACTTCTTAGTTTCCCCTCATTTAGAGCCTCGTGAGAAACTTTCTCCAGAAAACTTTCGTTTCTTAGCTTTTGGTACATGTTCCACTACATTTGCCTCAACTCTATTGGATGCTTACCAGTCCGTTTCTTAGAATTGCGGTTGTCCTTCTAAATCTTCAAACGCACAATCAATTCCTCCAATGTCATTTCTTTGCGCTTGTGTTTGAGGTAGTTCTTGAATTCTTTCCAGCCTTGTGGTAATTTTTCAATTAAGGTAGCAACTTGGAAGGATTCACTAATAGACATGCCTTCTGCATGAATGCCATGCAGAATAAGTTGAAGATTTTGAACTTGACTGATCACAGTTTTTGAATCAATCATCACAAAATCCAGAAATTTGCCAACCACAAATTTCTTTAAGCTAGCATTTTTTGTTTTGTACTTGTTCTCCAAAGACTCCCAAAGTTCTTTTGCCGTCTTGATAGGGTTGTAGACGTTGTACAATGTGTTATTAAGTCCGTTCAAGATGTAGTTTCGGCGAAGGAAATCAACATGCTTTCAAGCATCGACTGCAGCAACCACTTGTCAGTCGATTTCATCTTCTTTTAGAGTAAGAGCATTTTCACGGAGAAAATGAGCCAGGTTCAGAGTAGTAAGATAGAACAGTATTTTCTGCTGCTATCTTTTAAAATCAGTTTCTAAGAATTTCTCTGACTTTTCACCGTAATTGACTAGCACAGTCACAACAGAAGGAGAGGTTAGAGCAATTGCAATCACCATATCAGTATTGGTTTGAACATCAGTCTGACTAGTTTCAGTGTCCATGAATTCTAAATTATAAACACAGAATTTAATTTTGTAAAAGTAAAAGAAACAAAAAATTGAAACTTTTATTTTCAATTAATTTGAAAATAAAATTCTATTTAAACAAATTAATTCCTCAAAGAAAAATATTTCTATAACACTTAAAAAATTAAAATATTGAAAACATAATTTTAATTAATGAAAATTCAGAAATTATTTATGACAACTAAAATTAATTTTTGACCAACTTCACAAATGAATATTCTGAAATTGTTAATGACTACCAGTATATTATTACTAGTTGTCAAAGAAAATAAACAGTATATTACTACTATTTGTATTTTACAACCAGAATATTATTTTGTGTAAGCATAGAAAATAATTTATGTAAGAAGAAGAAAGAAAGATAAGGAAACAAACAAAAAATTGTGTATAAACAGAATAATTTGACTCTATCTTAAGATTGTTGGAACAATCTTCTGTGTATAACAAAATAATGTGAAACAAATCAAACAAATAAAAATTAATTACTTACGAAATTTATTTACTGAAATGAATAAGTACAAAAATTGATCAAGTCAAGTGTGTGACACTGTCCTTGAGACAAATTCGTCCCACTCTGGTGCTTATGGATAAATGACGTCTATCTCCTAGGATACAATGATTTACACAGATTGTAGTAGCACTCCAAACAATATGTACGGCGAACTAGAACCTGTGTTCTATACTCAGAAATTTCTCTAAAAACTAGTATGAAGAATAATACAAAAAGAGCAAAATTGGGAAGAGAAATGAATTTTTTGGATGAAAAAATCTGCTGGAATGAATCTGGATTTATAGGCAAATTGGTGACTATTGGACAGATCCGAACAGGTGCAAAAATCTGTTTGAAACCAGGTTGATCTATTGAAAACTGTTGGGCAATTTTAAATCTGTCTGGGAAGAATAAAATCTGTCTAGGTGCAATATGTTAAAACAGGTTGAAAAACAGTCTAAATCTGCTTGGATTGGTTTGGAAAGGACACTGGTTGGGAGCAAAAAATTTGAATTCAATTTTTCCTGCAAGATTTTTTTGGAGAAATTCAAATAAACTTTGTCCAAAAAATTAAAGTTAGGACCTAACCCACAACCCGTACTCGGCCTGGCCCAACCCAGCTCAGACGAACGACGGCGGAGCGCACGCGCGCATGTGGTGGTTTGGGCCAAAGCTTACTTTGTCCATAACTCCTCCCTTTTACAAACTTGGGGTGCCCCTTGGGGCCCAACCAAAGTATTCTCACTTAGAACTTATATACACACATAAGTACTCTTTAAATTTCAATGTGAGACGACCATTTCAAGGAAACCCACATTTTACTTCTTTAATTGTCCATTCCACGAACCCGAAAACGTCAACTTCCCATTCACTCATAAATGGTTTTGACGAACCATCTTCACCGTGTGACTTGCTATGCAGTAAGGAATACGTCACTTCTTTGGACCCACCCCAAAAGACATGTGGGCCCCACTTAAATTTGGGCTCAAAGTTGGCCCAAAATAAGCCTATAAAAAACGATAATTCCAACACTCTGCCTCTTTCTCTCATTCTCGCAGAAATGTGACAGTCGCGGTGATGGTGGATTGCAATGGTGGGGACGCAGATATGAAAGTGTTGCAGAAGGGGGTAGTTGCAGCAGTTCTCCGTCACCCCCATCTCCTCTTGTCGTTGCCCTCCTACTCCTTTTTCTCTCATCCAAAAACCCAATCCTAGGTTTCATCTATTTCTGTCTCTCTTTCTCTCGCTCTAACAGTGGATTGTGGTGGTGGATAAGCAAATCTGAAAGTATTGCAGAATAGGGTGGTTGAGGCAATGGTGATGGTCATGGCAGTAGAACGACAGAGGAAGTGGTGGCTGTAGCAATGAGGGTTGCGAAGGTGGTTGAGACAATAGTGATCGCGATGGTTGAACGGTTGTGAAGGTGGTGACATTGGCTGCCGGAGATAGAGCAATTGTTAAAAGTGGTGGTTAGAAGACTAAGGGTTTGAAATGTTGGGATGAAAGAGATGAGAGCACGTTTGGCATTATGAGAAGTGTAAAGAGAGGAATTTTTGGGTGTGGTGCAACAAGAAAATGGGTGTAAGGAGTTTATTTGGTGATACAAGTAGAATCACTCAACATTTTACCTTTGACCTAAAAAAAAAAAAAAGATTTTTGTTTTGACTTATTTATCTGATTTTTTTTAAGTAAAAAAAAAAAATACTAGATTAAACTGGTTTATTAAATGCTAAAAAAAGAAATTTTTATAATTTATTAAATTCTTTAAATTTTTTAGTATACTTTTTTATTTCTAATAATTTTTATAGTTTGTAAAAAAATTCAAATTAAAAAAGAAGCACCAAAAAAAGGAGGGTAAAAACCCCACCTAAAATTTTTAATAACAAAAAACAATGACCATTTGCCAAATGAATCAACTTAAGTAAAATAAATTTTTAAAAAAAAAAAAACAAAAAATATAACTATTGAAAATTCATTTGTCAAATCAATCCTTAAATTATATGTTTAAACTTTTAAAAAGGAGATTAATAATTAAAAGTTCATATAGAATTAAGGATTACATATATTTTAAGATTAGTCAAAGACAAAATTTTAGTCACTCTATATGGTAGTAGTTCTTATACTTTACCTATTGTCTCTTTTTAGTTTTCGTAATTTTAATTGACTCAATTTTCATGATAAATTTTATTTTTTGTATCAACTTATTCCAATAAATTACTTTCGTTAGGAATTTTGTCATAAAAATGCATGCAAATGCCATATGACTACTTTCAAGTGTAAAACATACTTTAGTCATTACCCCTTTTATCTCTATTCTCTATGCAACAAACAATTTGTCTACAACAAACAATCACGCATCGCATACAACTCTACTATCTCCACCATTATCACCTTTGTACCCCTTCGCCACCAATTACCTCCCACATTTCCACCACACTAACAGCCCATTACCACTAAAAGAATACCACCACAATCATTAAAATAAAAAAAAACAAAACATTTTCAACAAAATCATATTACAAGTCACCAGCAAATTAAAATCCTTCAAAAATTAAGATTGTTGGAAAATGAAAAGCAACTACTATGGCATCACTAGTGTAATTGCTGTCAAAGGCTCTATTGGTGAGAGACTTGGTTCCCCTATCCGCAGTCCATTTTTCATCATCCATATCACAGTCCCAAGTTATCCCAAAATTTTGAGTATGATAATTATTTTGTATATATAGGATGAAAAGATTATATGTATTAGGAATTTAATTAATGCAAAACTTCCAACACTAATATGAAAAATTACCTATAAGCAAGACCATACTAGGCCATACTTGAGCTTGAATCAAGCCATGAGTGGATACCTGGTCCAATTCACTCATGAGCCATGGACTTTTTAATGAGGCTACTAGCACCCACAACCCATATCCTACACCAATGAGAATGTCTGTAGTGAAGAAAATGTGACACTACACTAAAACCAATTTTTCTACATTTCCCGCAAACATATAAGTACCTTTTTCTTTTTCTTTTTCTTTTTTTCTTTTTTTTTTTTCCAAACATTTTTGTCAGCCATTTATTCTCTCTCTTCCAGGAGAAGGAAAGACAAAGGAAGCCACACCCCACAGTCTGGAGTCCTCTCCTCTGACCAAAACGCCCGAACGAACCCTAATAATAAATAAAAGGAAACAAATCAATCTCCCAAATTCAATAAAATGATGCATGGAGGTGGCGGTGGCGGTGGCGATGGCGGCGGCGGAGGGAGGGAGAACGAAGGTCTAGGTCGGCTAACTCAGATGATGATGCCCCTTCCTCTCCAACTCAATCAGGCGGCGATCTCTGCCTTAGCCGGCGGAGACGATGACGAATTCCCGAGGAAGGACGAGAGAGTGCCACAGTGGAGCCACCAGGAGACTCGAGACTTCATCGCCATTCGTGCCGAGCTCGAGAGAGACTTTACTGTTGCTAAGCGGAACAAGACTCTTTGGGAGGTTGTCTCCTCCAGAATGAGGGAGTTAGGGTATCGGAGAAGCGCTGATCAGTGTAAATGCAAGTGGAAAAACCTCGTCAACAAATACAAGGTATATACATTTATAACGCACCAAGTTTTATTTTTATTAATAGCCCTTAATTCTGTATCTAGAGATGCTATTTTTGATATTTGTCGGATTTTCATGAGAATCGAAGTCTCAGTGCTGTTTTCTTCAAATTCATGATTCACTAGAAATGAATTGTCAGTATTGCACAATTCTTTTCTCATACAAGGTTTATAAATTGATTCTGTCGGCGGTGCAGTTATGGGGAGTCTGCTGCTGCTACATTGCTGGTGCCGGGAGAAAAATGTGTTTTTTTTTCTTCTTTTTTTTCTTGTGCATACCTTTGTAAAAATTGTTTATGCTCATTGATCATTATTTACGTCTAAATTTAGGTTGGTTACAGAATCGGGTCCTAGCATGCGGTGCTTGTAAAAGATTGTTTACCCCCAATCAATGTATTTGTAGAACCAATGGTTGTGAAAAAACAGCCATAACAATCACAGCAACAGTATAAGTAGGCCCCAACCAATCATTCGCTAGCCATGGTTTTTGCAGGTTGTTCTTACACACGTACATCATAATGCAACTTTTCACTAGCACGTGAATTTATAAAGGTCGCACAAAATTTATGCTAAAAAAAGAGAAGATAATTTCTGCATTATTTTGTTGAAAGAGTTTTTTGGGTGAGGATCATCTACAATTCTTGGATCTTGCGTTGGTGGTTATTGGCCAAGAAATAAGTTGAAAAAAATGCAAGTTCATTTTAAACTCTTCTAGAATCAAATGATTAAAGCTACTTATAAATTAGACTTTGTGTGTGATGGTTTTGCTTTAATATTTCCAAAGTTCTAGACGATAATGCTATTAGTAATTCATATTCTTTCTAAGTTACAATTAAATTGTATTTTTTCCATGCAAATCATTTTACAAGATCGTGCAATTATAGTCTAGAATGATGGATTGCATTTGCAAAGAAGACCTATAGTGATCGATGAACCTTATGGACTTTGCTTCTATTTGAAGAAAAAAATGAATTTAAGGAAATATGTTTGCATTTACTTTATTGCATCTTAGAGCATTTGATGTACCATGTCCCCTTCTTGTTCCAAGTACTGAACTCATTGATACAAGAATCCTTTGTTGATAAAAATTGACAATCTTAGAAGGAACATGTTTTATTTTCTTCATCAAATTTCTTAATTGATAGAAATTGACTCTTATTGATATGAGAATCCATCAAGGATAGTATGTGCTATAATCATTAAAGACGAGTGAAGCTCTTCCAGCTACACACACCAGCACATGCATATATGCACACACATGTGCCCTCCAAATAGTTTTGGAAAATGAACTTTTATTGTTCTTTTCGATTTCTTTAAATAAATGAGATTTGAGTGTCATATTCAATGGTATGTTTGAGTATTTGGTTTCTCATCTAATAAATGTTTTGGCTTATTATCCAAGTTCTTTGAGATTTGTTTTATGACACAGTACAAAACAATTTTGATTTGATACATGATACAGTAGGATACCATTTGACTCCTCTTTGTGTCTGTAACTAGAAAGAACTTTGTCCAAGGTCCGAAGTAGTTTAATTTGAGTTATTGTGCATATATTAAGGTTTTCTCTATAGGGAACTACTAACGATTGCCCATTGGATTGTAGTTAGGGCTGTTTTGGGAACACTCTAAAATAGCCAAAAAGTCACTACAAAAAAGTCGACTCTTTGCTCTACTTTTTCGCATGTCTTTTCGTAAAAAGTCAAAAAGCCAATTAAAATAGCTACTTCCCAAATCAGCCCTTAATAGTGGTATGTGTGTAAAAAGTGTATTCACATATGTGAAAGTGTATAGAAATATGTAGAAGTGTATGGGAATTAGGGGCGGGAATCCCTGACTTGACATGATAACACAATTTGAACTGTTCACGAAGTTAGCTGGTGAGGGTTGACCATTTTCTGACACGAACATGTAAATGACATTGCCCTCTAACACCAATATTAAACGGGTCGTGTTCGGGTTGAACCCATGTAGCCCAAAGTGGACACACTTGATTTGTTTAAAATTACGGTTCAACTCATTTACACGAATCCAACCCCAACCCATCCATGACATGTGGATGTGTATATATATAAATATTTTATCGAAAGTGATCTTGGCCATTCATTTTGTATTCAATAAAACTAATCTCCACCATTCATGTAAGTATAAAAGCTAAAGACATGGAATGGATGGAACCCTAGAACTGCCGACTCAAGAGAACTCGTTTCGCTGTAGAAGGTTAGAAATCATAGCTTGATTGACTTAAGAACTTCTTCGATCGGTAAGCTTCTTTGTCCAAACGACCGCTGATCCGTAAGCTCATTCCTTTTATGGTTTTTGGAACTTCTTTTTTGTAGAAATTGTAGCCCATTTATTCTTCGTTTCAGATTTTCTTCTTCGTTTTGTTTGATAAGTTTCTTTGTTTTAGATCTATAGAAACCCTAGCCCTTTTGTTTCAGATCGTTTTTCTCATTTAATTTGTTTTGGTGCTGTAGATCGATCTTTAGAGTGGGGTTGATTTGATTCTCTATTATCATAATCTTACGATTCACGATTTGATTTACAATTTATGCAAAATCGATACGAAGCTATGGGTGAATTTCTTTTGGAAGTGAATTTAAGGTGAATCACATGATTTACAATTGATTTATGATTTGATTCACTTTTTACGATTCATGCAATTCTTGAAACTATTGTATCCGACATATTTTGATTATCTTTTTCGCCTCTTTTTAGTGAAAATGACATTATACAACTTCTAATAATGTTTAGTATGAAAATAGGTAATATATATACATGATTTTTTGTTATTTTGATAATTGAGAAGTTTTTAATAGGATCCAATTAGATTTAGTCAGACCAATATTTTTCATTTTTTTCTTTAAAAAAATCATAAAATATCTTCTAAGATATTTAAGGTTAAAGTAATTTGCACCATGAATTATCTACTGCTATTTTATTGAAATAAATATGGTTCAATAAATATTTCAATTAATTCTTTCTTACTATTGAGTCATTGTTACTTGAAAAGGTATGTAATGTATGCTTATAGTCCATATATTAACATTGTTGTTAAGTTATTGTTACTTGGAAATTGATAGTTTGTCCTTGTTTACTTTCTTTATTAAAAAGGGTTGATAAGAAATATCGAAAAAAAAAGGAAAAGGTAGATGATGATCTTACATGGGAACTTGGGTTAAGAATCTATTAGATCACGTGCTTATCATTCAAAACAATATTTCATTGATTTAAGTTTAAATATTTCATGTTTATGTGATCTATTTAACATTTAAGTGTATAGATATATATTTTTCTTAGTAGTTAAGAAAAAGTGACTGAATCTTTACAATTAATAATTCGATTTGATTCGCTATTCGGTACTAGGCCATTTTGATTCACAACTCGAATTCCGATTTGACAACTATAATACTTCCAATCTAGCTAACTCTCAACTATGATTTGTCTATCTGATAGTTATGCATATGCATGTGTTTATATTTGTGCATCTACCACAGGTTACGGTTTTTTTTTTTTTTGAATGTTTGGGTCTCAAAATACAGTAGCTAATCAAAGTTTGTCTCGTGTTGTGTCGTGCGAGTTAAACATGTTAATGAATTAATCGTCTCAATTTTGTCATTCACGGGTTAACACAGTTATTGGCAGGTCATGTTAGTGTTTAAACAGGTTGTGTTCGTGTTGAGGATTTTTTTGACACGATTCAAACACAACATGACACGACATGTGTGAATGTGTATTGATATTCTAAAATTGTTTTAGAATATATTAGAGAAGATTTATTTTCCCTCATTTTCAAGTTATTTATTGTAAGTTTTAGTTTTAGTAACTTTGTTAAGCTATAAGATCATGGATTTGAAGTTCGCTGATTATTTCAGGGGAAGGAGACAGGTGATCCAGATAACGGCCGGCAGTGCCCATTTTTTGAGGAATTGCATGCAGTATTTACAGAAAGAGAGAAAGACATGCAGCGAACGCTCCTTGAATCCGAATCTGGTGCTTCACATGCAAAGAAGAGGGTTAAACGAATTGGTGGAGATCCTTCCTCTGAAGAATTGTCAGATTATGAATATGAGGATGAAGTAGAAAGCGGCAATCCTCGAAAAAAGAAGGGTGAGATAGAGAAGCGGTTGCGGACAGCTGGATCGGACAAGGCTTCAAGACAACCTAATATGGGTAATACTAATAATAGTGGTAATAATCTTAGCAGTATTCAGGAAATGCTTCAGGAATTTTTGCAGCAACAACAGAGGATCGAGATGTTGTGGAGGGAGTCAATAGAGAGGCATAACTATGAGAGGCAGATGTTTGAGCAGGAGTGGCGGCAATCAATGGAGAAGCTTGAAAGAGAGAGGCTGATGGCTGAACAGGCTTGGAGGGAGAGGGAAGAACAAAGGAGGATAAGAGAAGAAAGCCGGGCAGAGAAGAGGGATGCTGTCTTGACAATGCTCTTGAACAAACTTATCAATGAAAATAATCATTGAGGGTAGATTAACTGAGACTGTCACTCAACCAATCTCTTCAGAGTTCGGACTTCGGTGGTATCTTTTGAATGGTGGTTTGTTGATACTAGAAGTGAATGCAGGAGAAATGAAAAAATTTGAAGTATAGAACATTGAACAAATAGATAGCGCGATTATTATAACTTGGTATACAAATTGGACTTGTTTTTGTTATTTTGATTTCTATAGAATTTTTTTTTTTTAGATCATGAGAAGCAGCAATTTCAGTTTGTGGGAGTTGCCCACCTGCAAGAATTGTATGGTGTTCGAGATTTTCAGGTTTCATTCTTACATTTCTTGTACATGTTCATAATTGAGATTGAGATCTATGTTCTGTTCTTCTAATATATAATTTTCCTTCTTTTCAATTTATTGGCACATGCTTTCTTTTCTTGCTGAAGTGATGTTTTTTTAGTTGCTGAAGTGATGTTTTAAATTGATGGAAAGTTATATACATATTATTTGTAATACTTTGATCTAATGGAATTTAATTTTGGATGAGGGAGGGGGGATAGGAGAACGAAATCCCGAGACATGAGTCTAATTGCTGAGCTTGGCTAACTGTTAAGGGTTTGGTGCTTTTCTGCACTGATGGCCCTTGTTTTTGTGGCATCCAATATAGGCTTTGTTTGGTGTAATTTATTGAAATTATTGAAATTGTTTACATGGTTTTTTTTTTTTTTTTTTTTTTTTTTTTTTTTACTATTT